ATGTTATGTTATATAAATTTACATTAAGATATTTACAGATATCAAAGCCACCAATAACAAAAAATATATTTATTTACAGTTGCATTTCTTTACATTCTGATATAATTTATAAAGATATGTAAGATTCATTTACATTCAGATACATAATGTAAAATGATATTTTATATAAATTTAAATATAGATAAGATATTGAACACTTATTTACATGCAGATATTTAATGTAATTTGTAATGACTTTTTAACACAAATTTAAATTCAGATTAGCAATAAAGATTTTGAACTCTCGTTTACATTGTACATATTATGTAAAATGATATTTCATATGAATATAAATTATAAAACATTGAATTCTAATTTGCATTCAAATATGAAGTAGACTGATATTTTCAACTAATTTCAAATCAAATATATATAGGTTACATAAAGTAGGTTTGGATATTGACTTATAATACAATTGACCAAAATCTCATGTAAATTAGTCTATGAAATATATAAGGAGTCAATGAAAGTGTTTAGGTTTCAGATGCACAATTAACTCAAATTTCATATTTTAAGACTCTACATTTTTTCCCAATGTACAGTTAGCTATCATTTATACAAAAGAAAATTCGGCTGCTATTGAGCCGACATATTTTATATCACGTGATATCCAATACAGTCATGTGACTTGCCGTAGAAAAATTCCTGTCATACCAAGCTGCTGTCGTGTGAGGAAAAAGCATCGACTGTTTCAGTTCGAAGAGTCTTTTGTGTTCACATTTATTCTATCGATTGATATCGAGGTATTATATAAAAACTGTGGTATTTTACATTTATAATTCAAAACATCCAAATAACTTAGTTCACGAAATGGTATAGAAACTTTAGATATACACATATATAGGACACTTCATCAACGCGCGATCAGCTTCGATTGACCTCCGATTTTTGAATGATGGAATGCTGAATTAATAAGCGTGTAAGATATATATTTTTTAAAAAGAAACTTTAACCGATTGTGAGGATGGAATCCCCTCTGGATGTGCTGTCAAGGGCCGCGTCCATGGTGGAAACAACAGAAATAAATCGTAAGTATTTACTACATTATTATATATACATTGAATCACATTGTCTATGAGTATCAATAACATTCATAGATTGAAATGGAATAATTCCATTATAATTTTAAAAGCCATCGGAAAATTCTAGATTTTTTCCACTCGTTCTCCATCGAATTGAAAGTCGGTCATTGATTATTTTTTGAAAAAGATTTCAAAGATTTTTATCTTGGCACTATAATGAAATATTTATAGAAAATGGTGATTGGGCTTAAGTTACAAAATTGAAATTCATTACATTGGAAGTTGTTTGGTTTATTAAGAAATAATCTTGGTGAAGCAAGTCAGAATTGTTGACATGTTACGATTTCGAGAGACAAAGAATTTATGTCGGTCGCTGCTGCCATGCTGTTTTTCTCCAGACAAAGGTTCTTGGCAAAAAGTTTTTCCGAATGTCAATATCTGTTATCGCTTGTAAGAGTTAACAAATGATTTGAGTAAAAGGGGTGGATTAAACGAAAAATTGCCTTTCTTCATGTTGGACATTGATCGTGAGCTGACATTAACCTAGAATGTAATGAAAAGCATGCGAGGAATTCAGTGCAGGTGGTCGTCTGCCATGTTTGCTCATAGAGGGCGCTACACAAGAAGACTTTATATGGTACACATAACAAACTTAGTGTATACCTGCACATTTCTTGCATATTTTCACTAAAATTTTGAAAGTTAACGCATGATTAATTTCTCGAGATAAATTTTAAAATACGAACGAAATTGAGTTTGTAGGCCCCCAAGAAAATATAAATTGAGACAGAAAGTTGGGTCTGTGAGGAAGCTTATTCGCTTACTGACAAAGTTTTTGCAACTTTGAGACCTGTTTGGTCATATAAACGTGATTTAATTATAGGCTGTTGAGGAAAATTTCGCAATAACAGTGATATATCTAAATCTTTTTGATTTTTAACAGTTGAGGACTCTTTTAGTTTTACAGCAGTATATCATATATTTTTTGCCAATTTAGAATTTTTAATTTTGTATATTTTCAAAGTTAGTAGGCCTACTGGTGTACTATGATAAGGTATTATGAAAATTATAATACAAACTGAGCTTTGGTTTATTGTCCCATGAAATTTGCACACAGGTCCATTTTTGACCCCTTCAACCTGCATCACTTACATTGGAAAACTGGTTATAAAAACCTTAGGGTATATCAGCACATGCCAGAATTGAAATATTGACCTTCAGGATAACTCACTGTGCCTTTAAGCCCCCGGGTCTATGAAGAGGCATATTGAACAAGGTAATAGATGAAGTATAGATGAGTCCTTTAAAAGTTGATGCTGCTTTATTTTCAGTCAGAGAAAAGATCTCTGTAAACCCACATTGTTTAAGATTGCTGTCAAATACCCTAACCATAAAAAAAATGTTCACGTTTCACCAGAACATTGCAATTTAAATTATGTACACTATCAACCTTACTGCAGACTATTTGGAGAAACTGGACATAATAGTAATTGGCTCAAATCTATGTCCAGGAATATGAATCATTATTCAATGTAATCAGTCTTCAGAAATTTGGTAGGGATTTCACAGAACTTGATTTGATGACCTCGGTCATCTTTTCAAAAACTTATGGATTATTTTTTTAAACAAATATACCAAAGATTATCTTTAGTGATATATTTTGTTGATAATGGGAATTAACTGCCTTTAGCTTTAGTATTTTTTGAAAAGGTTATTAAGCACACAAATATAACAGAATATTTTAATTTAAATAATAGTTATTCATAATGATTAACAATACATGGACAAACTATGGTTTCAGAATCATCCCTTTTGATCTAACAGCTGTTGTAATAGGAATATGTTATTAAGTTGCACCAGAATTGTTGCTCTTGCCATGACTTAAATATATAGGTTGCAAATTAAAGGGACAGATATGCCATTCTCTTGGATCACTCAGGAGTCTGTCTCAGAAACAGTTATTGTTCACGTGAAAATCAACCCTTCTTAGCCATGTGTATCCATGATAATCCATGTTTGAAAGTTATAATAGCAACTTTTTACAGGATTTTCCACCTTGAAAATTTGTATATGACGTCACCATCAAGTCCCAATTTTTCTATACTTTGCTGGAATGAAAGATGTGTCAGAGATTATATCCACAAGCGTTTGGATACCTCAATTTTCAGAGTGAAGATAAGCTTGTGAAACTTATGTGAATGAAATGTTTAAAAAAAAAAACATTTTCTTTTAAGGAATTATGATTTTTTTTGGACAGTTCTAGTACTTCTGTTCTGAAGACTATTTACATATAATCAAATCAAATATAAAAATCCACCCCGGTAACCTGGATACTTACAAATCCCGGTAACCTTCCACTGGGGTCCCTGAACTGTATAAGTAGAACCCTGCAATTTGAGTCTAATCAGTCTCAAGAGTTTAAACACGAATGAAACTAGTCACTGATAATCAGGGATAACTGGTCGCCAATCTTTATCTCTTATATTTTACCCCTGCCAACGACCCAGTTATGGCTAATATGTGACCCCCATGGGTAGTCGTGATCCCCTTTTAATTTATAACCACCCTGGTGGAAGAAAATCCAAATCTAAACCCAGACATCCTCACTTCTCTCTTTGTTACATATATTCAAATCAAAAACCTGAAAATGGCAACTCTGTGACTTTAAAACTACATTGTTAAATTGCCTCACTTTAGACAATGCTGATTCAGAAACTGAAGAAGCATTTAATCATTTCATCATCTAACCAAAATTATAATTGATGTAGCATTTGGCATAGCTACATATTCCACTCTTTGCTATTGTTTTTGGAAGCAGTTAAGTTAAGGTTGCAATTGTCTTAAATTCAATAAACTGTATATTCTTTAGGAAGACATAAGGTGTTATCTCAATAGTTGCAGACAGTGGCCATCAATGTTTTCTGTACAACTTAGGTAGCTGATGTGAGCCCATACATTTGGATCTCTAAAATCTGTCTGCAAGTGAGAATTAATCCAGAGTAAAACCTTCTTCAGTTCAGCAGAGATTGATTTATCAAAAAGATGAATATTAAGTTTTTTTGCAACTCAAAATCATCAGAAATGGGTTCTTTTCATGAGGTGCCCCAGACTTACAGACGTAGTACTAATTGTACTAATCAGAGCCAAAGCACGAATTCACTCCTGGTGACAGCTGAATGGAAAAGAATATAGGTCGTTGTAGTTGTCTAATTTTTCTGCTCTTGCAGTGATGGAACCCGATACCAGCTTAACCTGCAGCAAACTTGTGAATTATTTATAATTTATGTAAAAAAAATGGTATAATTTTAATATTATTAGTAATACCGTACTGATATGTTCCTTTTGGATTTGAAAATTGTCTGGTTACATTTTATTTTGTTTTAGATCAATCAAAAGTCCGATTTTTCACCAGCAAATGACAAATAACTGGTTATTTTTATCAAATTATCTGTGATTATTATAGATTCATTCCAAGCATGTATCAGCGTACATTATGAAACACAATTTGGTCTGCCTATTGAAATTCTTATTCACAAATAAAAATACTTTTACAAGCTAGCTGTCTTGAAACAGTTAATGAATGATACAAAACTTGTAACAAGAATGAAGCTGTCTGACCTAAAACCAGTGTTAAGTCATTCATAAAAAATACCTCCCGCTACCCAGCTAGATAATTATAATATATTACATTCATAAAACTTGTTTTCTTATTCACTACCTGAGATCATCATGAACTTGAACCCAGGTTCAACCAATCAGCAGTCTAACTAGGTTTAAAGGTTGAAGGTCTTCTAACTTCTAGCCAATCAAATTAGTGAATATTAAAAGTATAAAAAAAAATCCTTACAGGTGTGTGTAGGTGTGTTGTTTTCTCAAGTTAATAATTTCAAAAAATTTGGAAGTTTTGATGCTATGCTTTTAAAATTGTGGAAGTGAAATATGACAACTTTGGGAGATTATTATTTTCATGGAGAAAGGAATCAGTATCTGTTGCCTCCAAGGGTTCTTTTACCTGAGCCTGATTGGAGAACCACCATATTTTGTGAACCATTTAGTAGACAGCTACCTATGACTCATCTTATGTTAAACAACTTGCCACCTATACCTCCATATTATTGTCCATGGTATAGCCAAGGTACCTATCTAAAGAATTTTTCTATGCAATGTTTTTCTTTAAATGCATATTTTACTAGTGAATAATTGCTTTTGTATTAAATTTGTGTTTGTGTTTATTATCAGAAATATAATGGAAATTATACTGTGCATGAATATGCAGTTTAAAACTTGAAAATACTGAAGTAACTTACTGTCATATATTAAAAAGTTATTTTATACCCTGTCTTATCACATTGAGTTGTTTTATGGTGTGACATTATGAGATGGAGTTTACAAGGACAGTTTTTACAGATGGAAATGTATATGGTCAATTTTAGTAATTTTTCTAACATAATAAACTATGAGTCATGCATTTGATTATAAAAAAAACCCAAACCACTGTAACAAAGGAATATATATATATAATTTGACTTGTATTAATTAGTTATATATATATATATATATATAAAATATATTATAAGTTTTGAAATGTAAACCACTCATCAATCAGTTTATTCTCAAGATAAAGAATAATACAGATAATAAATATGTCAGCAAATATCAAATTTATGATGAAACTTTGCATACACATAGGTAAAGGAATGAGAGTTTCTAGCTTAATCATAATTAGAAAAGTCATCTTCACTGACAATTTTAATCTCAAATTGAAATTATTTGATTGTCTTTTTCAACCCTTGAGATGATTTTAGTGTTCTAGTCATCTGATTGGTCAGTTTCTAAATTCCATTTAAATAAAAAGTTTATTAACAAATCAGATAACTTAAAATCTTATCTTTTATCTTTGTTAAGTTTTCAAGAAAAGGGCCTCGGTTCCAAGAATGTACAAGAAAAAATCTTATAAGAAAATTAATTTTCTTGTATTGATATTTTCAGATTCACTGTATAAAAGAAGTTCACCAGTTGATCCTAGAGAATCACCAGCACATGATTACCCTTCTAAAGTATTTAAACATGACAGACCAGACCCCTGTACCTCTAATCTTCATTATGATACACAACATTTAGATAGTTTCAACAAAAAAACTACCACAGCAGCCACACAAACGTAAGATATTTTCTGATTTTTTGATGCAGGGAAGGGATAGATTTGCCATCCGTTTGACCAATCATACCTGAGGATAAGAAACATGATTTATTTATCCAATCGTATCAGTAATAGTGTTAACAACTCACAGTCTAAATTTGAGCCCTCAAATCCACGTGTGTCAAGACTCTGCCTTATATAGAAAAGACATATATAGAAATAGAAAGTGAAATTCCTAGTTTGAGATATTTTTGAAGGAAAAATGTGATTTTCATAATTTTTAGTAGTTCTGAAGACTATTTACACATTATTCAAGACACAAATCAACCTGTGAAAAAATAGATATTTATATACTTCATTACAAATATTTAACAATTTAATAATGTTGAAATATCAGAATTTATTAGACTATGGTACTAAAGATTGAAGCCATTTCCAATGATAAAAATCTGGAGTGAGTAAGCAATAAATGACACATATTATATGTAATTTTTGTGATATTGAACCTAATTTAATATTTTTTTCTATCTTCCATTTCAGGCAATTTACCAGTTTTCATTCAGTAAATAAAGTTGGTTATAATTACTACCCTAACCCTCCACCCCATCCCCAATTAAACCCTAATCCCCCCTTACTTCCCCCTCCCCCTATTCTGCCTGAGTTAGAGGAACAACATACACCATTAAACCTCTCAACCAACTCCAAGGTAATCAAGTCCAATCAACATTCATCAAGACCATCAGTTATCACATGTGCTACCAGTCATCATTCAACTATTGGTCAATCACACCACAATTTAGCTGTTAGAGAACCTAGTCCTATTGAAGGTAAGAGACATTTTTGGTAAAATGAAATATATCGGGATTTGAAGGGTTATAGTCACCTCTACAAAACCAAACATCATACTGGCAAAATATTGGTAGCAGCTAATGAACTTTTCACATGAGGAAGTATATCAATTATTGTAACACTAATGCATTATTTGGACGTATGATTTGTTATTTCTCAGAAGATGATCCCACTGAATTTTCTTTAACAGCCAATCAGTCTACAATTACACTGCATGATGAACAACCATCAGAGTGGAAGTTTGCTTACTAATGGTTCTACAACTTGATATTTTATGAGTTGTAACCGTTTTATTTTTACTTCCAGTTGTAGTAACCGATTCAGCAATAGAGGAACATTTTAGACGCTCTCTTGGTACCAGATATTCACCTTCTAATGAGGTTCCTGAAGAACAAAGTGAGGAAGCCTCACCTGGAGTCACTGGTGTTGCTGACACTGATGTGTCTATTACAGGTTAGTAATCGGGTGTACAAATTGATTTTTTTTTTATTGTCAGTTTGTGTTGGGAGTTAACTCCCTTTATATTTTTGGAATGTTACATTTGTTATCTCCCTTCACATGTAATCTGCATGGAAGAATACATAACAATTACAAACTCTTCAGTTCAAATTTATGCTTTGAATGTTTAGTTTAATCAGTTCACAAATGCATTGAATCAACAATAAGATGGTCCCTTTTTGGGGAGCAGAAAATGATTGTCCTGCTCATACATTACTCTTATTAAATAAATTCAGAAAATTTTCTTTCTCAACCATATTTCACTGCTTATGTATTGGATTGATTTGATAATTTTAGGAACAGTGGATGATCATTTTGCAAAATCATTAGGTGATACAACATGGACAGCTATAAAAGCTAAAAATGATTTAGTTGCCTTGGACTTATTTTCTGGAACTGTGGATGATCATTTTGCTAAAGCTCTAGGAGGAGATACTTGGTTACGGATTAAGGCTGAGAAAGAATCAAACTGTAGTGGAAACTCGTCATCTTCAAATTCTCCTCCTCAAGTTTCTTTAGTAACGAATTGAGCCAGTAAGCAGACTAACTAATCAACTACTGTGAAATTTTTATTGTTGTGAGAGCTCAACATTCATAGAATTTGTATGTACAACCTGCAAACGTATAAACAAATACTACAAAGAATAGAAATCATTGAAATTTGGTGTCCACAGAAATAAATTTCCAAGTATTCAAGTGCATATTTATGAAGAAAATAGATATTGTGGAATAATTCAGGAAGGCTATTCGCGTTTAAAAAAGTTTACCAACATTGATCTCTTGGCCGTAGATCTCTTAATGGATCGTTTAAGGATTGGTCATATGATTTGAAAACTTTTGTTATATTTTTGTTGTGTCTGGTTTCAATAGATAAGATATTTAAACATGAGATATCAATCCCTTTACAGAAAAATAAATATGGCTTTAGTTTAATAAATATAGTATAATATAATTTAGTGACTGAAATATATGAACCTGAAGTGTCTTGTGTGATCAGATATTTGGATTCCAGCTTTTACATTAACGAATCTTGATATATCTGTCTGAAATGTGCTTTCTACAAACCTTTTGCCTGTACACTGTCTTTCAGCTTATGACATCAGCTCTTATAGAGGGCCTTGAAGGTTGTTACTGTAAATAATGTCTGAATAAAACAACGAACAATCATAACGAGTTTAAAGTCATTGATTGCAGTTTAGTCAAAGTAAACATGTGAGCCAGATTTATATAACAATTTATATACTTTTTGTAAAAATCAAATACTTCAGGAAGTAAGGGTCAATTTTGCAATTTTCATTAACCAAGCAAATTACTGTATGCCTCAACATCTTCATTTTTTTTTAAATTATTAGTTTTGTGAATTTGGGCATAGTTTGCAGTAAGAAATTAAATTGCTAGTTGAAAGTGTTAAATAACATTGATTGTTGGTGTTAGCGGTATGAAAGTCTAAAACAATGAAGATCAAGATAGATCATCTAAATGATATTGAATTGATAGTGTTGTTTATATAATGTAAAAAGTGCTATAGTTGTTGTTATGAAATTGAAATTATATCAGATAAGAATTCAAGTCATTGTCATATAGTTTGACTCATGAAATATTTTATATGAGCATTATACTTGTTTTAATCACTTATCAAATTACTGTATAGTCTTAAATCTGGACCTGGTTTGCTGATTTATTTAAAGGGGAATTACCAAACAGAAACTATGCTCAGATACAGAAGAAAACTCTTTTTGGATGTGAAAATGTTTGAACTGTTCTATAAACTAGTGATATTTGCAAGAAATCCTTAAGCTAAGGAAAGGGAGAAAAAAGTCAACAATAGGACAGATATCAAAAGGTTTCATTCTATTTGAATTCTTATCTCATATGTCAATTATTTTATTATTTATGTCATGTTATTATTTTCAATTGTTTATCATGTACAATAAAACATGTAAAATGGTTAAAGATACATTCATGGCTTGATCATCTATTTGCTGATTCCCAGCAGCATCGTTGCATATATTTCCAACTGTTGGAAGACCTTTTAAATGTGCAGTCAATTTAACACATGGATTTTTTTTAATCCCATGCTGAATAGCAGGCTTCTCTTGGTCACGAGATTCCCTACACTTTAGCTAAATGCACTCATAGCACACTACGCATAATATATATGAAACAGGACGACTACAGCTGACAATGTCAGACTTTATCCATTATTATGTTAACGATGCAGCGAAAGTCGTCATAGGGCCAAGGAAGGTAACATTGCAGTTTTGTACAAATAACTCATTCCACTTTTCAAGTTGTGAATCATGGGATACGTAAACCACCTCTATGGCAGATCTCTCCTACTGTAGTAAGCAGAGTAATAAATATATGCTCAAAACCTTAATTTCAATATCTTAAAGGGAAGTAACCCGGGTCCAAATTGTTATTTGTGAAGAATTGAAGTTGGTCAAAGAATTGACGTTATTGACATTCAATAACCCCTCCAAGGGAGTAATCCTGATCCTACTGTAATATTTATTGCATTGATTTTGGGCAGATATTTCACTTTCAATGACATCTTCAAGGGAAGTAACCCTGACCCTGATCTAACTTTTGATAATAAAAGATAGTTCGGAATCTTTGAAGTCAGAATAACACCGTTGGAGAATTAGAGATACATTAGGGTGGCTCACATACGACATATTCCACTTGAATCATTAATTTTCACCTAGGTGATAATTATTTTCATTTTTTTTTAGGTGATAATTAGTGCAATTTTTAATTAAAACTTTAATTTTCACCTAGGTGATAATTCCTGTAAATTCCTAAAAATTTCCACATAGGCAATAATTCAACGAATCTTGTAAAAAATGTTTTTAATCAAAAATTCTTCAATTATCACCTTGGTGAATTATTTTCATCTAGGTGAAATTAAAGTTTTAATTAAAAATTACATTAATTATCACCTAATTTTCACCTAGGTGAAAATTAAAGTTTTTAATTAAAAATTACAGGAATTATCACCCAATTTTCTAGGTGAAAATTAAAGTTTTTAATTCAAAATTACCAGAATTATCACCTGGGTGAAATTAAAGTTTTCAATTAAAAATTACAGGAATTATCACCCAATTTTCTAGGAAAAATTAAAGTTTTTAATTCAAAATTACCAGAATTATCACCTGGGTGAAATTAAAGTTTTCAATTAAAAATTAATTTTCACCAAGTAAAAATTTTTTTTAATTCAAAATAAAAATTGGAAAATGTCGTATTTGAGCCACCGTTATACATGTTGTTCTGTTGTAGGCCCTA